AGTTCATTCAATGATGGTCTACGGTTGGTTCACCTGAATTATGCACATTGCAATCAGTAATTTATCATGATGATTTATTGATATGTTGATTTGTTTCTCGAATTAACAGACCATGTGTTACAAAAAAAACTATGCACACACTTTGATGATAGTTTGTTTATTAATTGGGTATTCAGCACTAGACTACCGACTATTATCAAATTTTCAAACCTGTTTTCAGTTGCTCTTTTCCAAAAAACTTTCTTTTTATGTGATACATATAAGTACTCGTGACATTAAAATTTTTGATCGGAAATCAAAAATTTATCCCAATACACATTCAGTAACAGTAGGATTGCACAGAAGTTGGTGTTTTTTTCTATAAATTTCTAAATTTCTTACAAGACTTACATTACACAAAAAGATTTATTCATTATCGTTAAATTTCTAATGTAAAAATCTAAATTCTGACATCCAATCACAGCTCTAGATGTGATTTCAATTTCAACAAATCAGATTACAGTTTACGACCAATAACAAAATTATTAAAGGTGACAAAATGTTTGTTCATTATCACTTGAGCACACACCTGCAAAACAAGTACACCAATCACCGATCTCTAAATTTTTCTTTGACACCATACATTTTTTTAGAAATGGGTGGTACGGAATCTTAAATGCCGTGGGCTTAATGTCAACCACAAAGATGAATGTGATTAAAGCTTATAGAGAAGTAAACAAATTGGAGAAAATGATCTTCCTTATGAATAAGATACTGACATTATTAAACAAGTTCAAGCAGTCATCATTGAAATCATTAATCTAATTAAACGGTCATATAGTAAGTGTTAAAATCATCGATTGAAACCACGTTGGTGAACAACTGCGTTAAATTGGTCAAATATCAGAATGGATATAAAGGTTAAGAAAACTTAAACAAGATTTTGTCATCTAATAAAGACTAATCTAATAATTTTATATTTAAAATATTGTGATTAATGTTCATGTTCTAGTAACACTTTTGTAAACTATCTAATAATAGTACATTTTAGTCAACTTTAATAGGAATATTTTAATATAGTGAAAATTCTAATTTGCTCGTAAGGTCAATAAATTGATGATAATATTTATTAGTGATTATGATTACTAAGATAAATGTGATTAAAGCTCATAGACAAGTAAACACAATGTAGAAAATTAACTTATTTATGATTAAAATATTGACATAAAACAAGTTGAAACCATCATTATTGAAATGATTCATGTGATTAAAGGTCATATAGTAAGTGTGAAAAGTAATAAGAATATAATCCGTTTCATGAATACAAAAAACAAGAATTTCATATTCTTGTTTTATATTAAAAGTACATGAAACCAGAACTATGCGTACGTAAGTAGTACGTCCGATCGTCAACTAAGCCTTCATTGTTATTCATAACTACTGATTATATCAATGTATTCATTTGCACAGCTATATAACTATTATTGACTGCTACAATCACATTGTAGCAGTCATAAAAATTGTCGTAGAATATTTTCAAAAATAAAAAATAGTGTAGCGAACAATCGTTTTCAGTAACTTCATCATCACACTATACAGTTAGTTATAAGCCCATAATTTTTATAATTTATAAAGGCCAACAATAAGGCATGGCATTAATCCATTTGACAATGTAATGTGTTAACAATGGTGAACGTTTACATCTATTACGATATATATATACTTACAAATTGTAACAGTTGGAAATTAGAAAGGTCATTCTATAGTGGCCTGGATTATTGGAAGTAAAGTGTTCAGTGGAAGAGCATAATAGGAAAATTCAAAATGCAAAAAAAATTGTGTCAATGAAATACATAATATGGGAATTGAATCTCGTCAATTGACATAATAATAATAATAATAATAATAATAATAATAATAATAATAATAATAATAATAATAATAATGAAAGTGAATAATAATATAATTGTAAATGTTCATTGATACAGTTGACCTTATTCATATTTATACGTTTAATGTCGATAGATATTTGTTGAGTCAGTCAGACGACGTAGGCTTGTTCATTTACACTTTATGAAACTGATATTTCAAATGCTTGTCAAAAATGGTTACATTCATAATGTCTAGATATAGTTCAGGTTTCATATTACGGTTAACAGTATTCCAACATGACTGATTAAACACACTAGTTTTTATTACGACCAAAAATATTAATTTTAAAATGCAGAACTACAAATAATTTACAAGTGAAAACAGTAAACCGTGTTTCAATGGACTTTTAAAATGAACCGAATTGACATCTAACCCTTTTTCTAATTCTCATTATGAATGACCATTTACAAAATAATCGTTTACTAAATAATAAGTGCCTATTTCGGTTAAATTTATTACTACATTCATATACTGTCAAAGTCAGTTCATTCAATGATGGTCTACGGTTGGTTCACCTGAATTATGCACATTGCAATCAGTAATTTATCATGATGATTTATTGATATGTTGATTTGTTTCTCGAATTAACAGACCATGTGTTACAAAAAAAACTATGCACACACTTTGATGATAGTTTGTTTATTAATTGGGTATTCAGCACTAGACTACCGACTATTATCAAATTTTCAAACCTGTTTTCAGTTGCTCTTTTCCAAAAAACTTTCTTTTTATGTGATACATATAAGTACTCGTGACATTAAAATTTTTGATCGGAAATCAAAAATTTATCCCAATACACATTCAGTAACAGTAGGATTGCACAGAAGTTGGTGTTTTTTTCTATAAATTTCTAAATTTCTTACAAGACTTACATTACACAAAAAGATTTATTCATTATCGTTAAATTTCTAATGTAAAAATCTAAATTCTGACATCCAATCACAGCTCTAGATGTGATTTCAATTTCAACAAATCAGATTACAGTTTACGACCAATAACAAAATTATTAAAGGTGACAAAATGTTTGTTCATTATCACTTGAGCACACACCTGCAAAACAAGTACACCAATCACCGATCTCTAAATTTTTCTTTGACACCATACATTTTTTTAGAAATGGGTGGTACGGAATCTTAAATGCCGTGGGCTTAATGTCAACCACAAAGATGAATGTGATTAAAGCTTATAGAGAAGTAAACAAATTGGAGAAAATGATCTTCCTTATGAATAAGATACTGACATTATTAAACAAGTTCAAGCAGTCATCATTGAAATCATTAATCTAATTAAACGGTCATATAGTAAGTGTTAAAATCATCGATTGAAACCACGTTGGTGAACAACTGCGTTAAATTGGTCAAATATCAGAATGGATATAAAGGTTAAGAAAACTTAAACAAGATTTTGTCATCTAATAAAGACTAATCTAATAATTTTATATTTAAAATATTGTGATTAATGTTCATGTTCTAGTAACACTTTTGTAAACTATCTAATAATAGTACATTTTAGTCAACTTTAATAGGAATATTTTAATATAGTGAAAATTCTAATTTGCTCGTAAGGTCAATAAATTGATGATAATATTTATTAGTGATTATGATTACTAAGATAAATGTGATTAAAGCTCATAGACAAGTAAACACAATGTAGAAAATTAACTTATTTATGATTAAAATATTGACATAAAACAAGTTGAAACCATCATTATTGAAATGATTCATGTGATTAAAGGTCATATAGTAAGTGTGAAAAGTAATAAGAATATAATCCGTTTCATGAATACAAAAAACAAGAATTTCATATTCTTGTTTTATATTAAAAGTACATGAAACCAGAACTATGCGTACGTAAGTAGTACGTCCGATCGTCAACTAAGCCTTCATTGTTATTCATAACTACTGATTATATCAATGTATTCATTTGCACAGCTATATAACTATTATTGACTGCTACAATCACATTGTAGCAGTCATAAAAATTGTCGTAGAATATTTTCAAAAATAAAAAATAGTGTAGCGAACAATCGTTTTCAGTAACTTCATCATCACACTATACAGTTAGTTATAAGCCCATAATTTTTATAATTTATAAAGGCCAACAATAAGGCATGGCATTAATCCATTTGACAATGTAATGTGTTAACAATGGTTAACGTTTACATCTATTACGATATATATATATATATATATATATATATATAGGTTTTGAAGATGTTATGCAAAGTGCATAATCTAGTGAAATAAATTTGGAAAGAGAAAAGTTACCTATTAAAAATGAACTAAAGACTGGGTAAAACACCAATATTTACACGCAAAAAAGCCTATTTGTAAGGCAGTTGGATGGTATTAAAATAAGTAAATACTAACACAAACCAATTAAAAATTGTTTGACTGAAATAAAAAACTTTTTAGCTTAGTTTAGGAAACTAATATTTACATTCATTTGATGTTGCACCAGTACAAATAACTAAGTTTAATACATATAAAGTTTTATCTATTTGTTAAAAAATGTCTGATATAAATGATGAGTAGTATCATGATATATTGTCATTTATAATGTTTAAAAACAATAAGAAACCAGTTTGAATTTAAAGACCAAGTTGGTCTTTTGATGGCATTAGAATCCAAGAAAGATATTCCATCTTATTCGACAAACGTCAACTAAATTCCCAGGTTGATAACCTATAAGAGCACCAAGAATGTAAACTATCATACTGGAAAAAACAGCTGACTTATTTACAGCTTTTGCAGAATACAATCTTAATTTATTTAATCATTGCTCAGTCTATTTTTGTTGGATTAATAAACCCAGTATTGCATCGAACAACAATGTTTTCGGAAAATCTGGCTTTTATTTGAGAGCGAGTTTAAAATATGAATCAGACTGTTTTTGAATCAAGATTTGATCATTTTGAAAACTTTCACAATTATTTTGACAAGCTGAATTGCACGGTAGTGTAATCACACTATAGACGGGAATTATAATACTTGCCAAAATTATTTTAAGGAAAACAATTCAAATGTAGGCCAGACTACAATAATGATGTATTTACTGTGATTTTCAAAGTAAGAATAAAAAAGTCTTACCATTTATCCGATCATAATCAGTATCATTTGTGTCTGTCATGTTTGTACAAACAACTGAGGCCAGAACTTGTGCAAAAATGATAAAATTGAGACATAAGAATGGTCTTCGCAATAAAAATGTGTCTGGTGTTCTACACATGAAATCAGCATTATTTGCTACAAACATATTTGAATGTCCCATGAACCCTGGATTCGAAAATAACAGAATAGCTAGGTATCGAAGAAATTTGTCTTGTGATTGCTTGTTAGGCAATCAAATTGAAGAAACCTACAAAAAAGAGCTTAAATGCTTTTATGTAGACAACAAAGATATAGTTCAATGTGTAATAAAACACCATTGAGAAATCAAAGCAAATTAGTTCGAAAAGCAAACAGAAATAAAGAGACGAGAATTTATGTTTCCCAGTTTTTATCAAGGTGGGGATTTGTGGAAATTGTAGTAGTTTTAATAGTCAAAATAATTAGTCAATCTAAGCTAGACCACAATTGAAAACCTCGAAGCTCTGGACATCTGTTCCGTCCTAGTATAAGACTCCTCAGCAGTGCGCATTCATGATCCCATATGCTGAACTCGAACCCAGGACCCTCAGTCTTACGCGTGGTGGTCTAGATGTTAAGCGCTTGCGTGCGAGACCGAAGGTCCTGGGTTCGAATCCTGCATGAGGAGTCGTAGATGCACATTGCTGAGTAGTCTCATACCAGTATGAAACAGGCATCCAGTGTTTTTGGTTTTATCAGTATGGACAAAAAGATACAAAAGTAATCAAATGAAGAACACTATCAGATAGGCAAAAAATGTACCGAAAATAACCTAATTTAAAGACAATGAATATATTTGTACCGGTGTAATTTGCAATGTAGCCTCCCCATTAGTGTCAGTCATTTTAAAACCTTACTAACGGGCTTAATACCTTTGATCAAACATTCATGCGTTACTTAGACACTAAATACTGAATGACTTTGCTCCATGCAAATGATACTTGAAAACATTGATGACAGAATCTCGAAGGAGTTAATTGTCAACTATCATTTACAACGTCGCATTATCAGGTAGCAACTTTTTCATATAACCCAGTAATCAAGTACATACTTGTGTACATGATGTTGAGACACGTTAATGTTGGTAAGCCACTGCCCAAATTAAGGGAGATAGAGGAGGATTTAAACTACTGGCTCAATAGTTAATAGTCAAGTGTTTTAGTTGCCAAACCACCATACTAGAACAGTGTTTCTACAAAGAACATTCGGCAACTGACAATCATGTGAATACCGTGTTGGCAATACAGATGGTCCCGACTGTTGAATGTAAATTGAGTCATATATTTGACGAGATTTTGTCGTGGCAATGTCATACGGACGAGTGAAATAGTCAAGTGCTCGAATCGTGAATTTTTTCGGCGTTTCCTCTTAACGAGAGAAAATAGTTACTAAAGTCTGGAAAATTAAATTATCCGGACGTTAGCTCGCTACAACTTAACACAAATTCAGACAATAACAACCACATATTCATTGACTAGTTTGTTTGTTTTTAATACTAAGCCTTTTACACTCAGTATTTATGTAACGATCAAATGATGATTTGAAATTTTAGGCGATTCTCATATTACTTACGAAGAATTTTGATACAATTCTACAGCATGACAGAGTAAACTAATGAGACAAACATGGAACTCTCGACTGTTAAAAAAGAACACACATCACCTTTACTAGTGTCACAGCGTTTGAGTACTAACCGTCAATGATCAACACATTATGGACAAAACAAATGACCAGTTACGAAGATCGGTCATTGCATTCAGCTTTGATAAACAGCAATCTTAGATATTTATATGAAACAGTTCATATAAAAATATTCACAATTAAAATTCTTGCAAAGTTCGGATGATTTCAAAGCCAATAACTTGAAAATTGCTGATGATGCTAGTAAAAACGGGGTTCAATTACACCCCCTCTTAAGTTTTTAATTGAATTAATTTATGTTTAGCTAATTAAACCAAAATGAATTTCCCAATAACATCCGTTTCTACTGCAGAAAAGTGAATTTTTCTTCCTCATAGATGTAACCATTATCAACACGTACGCACAGTCGAACAAAGTATTATTTATAACATAATATAACATAAAACTCATCACAAACATCACATGACAGCTTATAGAGTACAACCCAAACAGTTTAATTAGATTGTCGATAACGTGTAAGTACAGTAGAAAGTTTCGATCAATGTCGAGGAAAATATTCACGGTGTTCTTAGTTCAGTAAGTCAACCTAATAAAATATATATCACATGTTTATCATTTCGCACTCACTTGCATGCAAACTGAAAACCCAGCGATCATGATTGAATAGTGAAAACTAGAGCTTACTTTCACTAACCAAAAAATGTCACTACACTTAGGATGCTAGAAATATAATTACACTGTCTAGACGTTTTAGGAATTATTTATTTATTTGAACACATAAGTGTTGGTACAAAGCGGCACCGAATACATATGCGCCATGTCAGGAGATGCAGTCCCATGGTACCCGGTGACCAACAATAGGCTCATATGCCATTTGTTCCTACAGGATAGTGGAGCCCATGTGCATCATTGGTTTGGAATCAGAGTTTTCCAACCACCCTAGGTAAACCCCTTGCGTCCGCCAACCCAGTTAAAGAGGTGGATATTCGCTTTTCGTCCTCTAAAGTTCGTAAACAACACCCCTGCCACCAGAATAGAGTAGAACTTCTCTGACAGCAGCTGTATGCACGTGGTCATATGAGGGTATTCCGAGGGAGAGCGAACTCTCCCCACCCTCAGCCGTACCAGGGCATAGCCAAACTAAAAGGCAGGAAACGCCGAACTTGAGTAACATTTTGTCAATATTTTGACAAGAGATTTATGATTAAGTGATTCTCAAGTAATAAAGCATATTGTGGCGGTTAATAACTACATAAAACAGAAACAACAGTGCTGAGAACTCAGCTCACTACCACTTAGGGTTGTATGTTAAATCCCACTAATCCGATTATATATATAAAGTTTTACTCTCTGGTATAGACAGAAAATATTTTATAACCAAAACAAAGTTTTCATGGTTTTACAAACATAAAAGTCAATGAATTAAAGTTTGGACTAATAGATAACCCTCGCAGATGCACTTCCATAAAATTATCAACCAGATGTAGGAATGATTTAGACTTTATTCACAAGTCGTTCACACGTGCGTTATGCAAGAGCAATAATTTTCCAACTTGAGAATCGACTTTTCTTCTGTACGCCTATAGCATCAGAAGCATACCTAGTCAACTTTTTTTTTATTTGAGTTCAGACTTTTCTAAATTATTTTTTGTGGTTCGCTGTATTGAGTTGAGTCCTCGTACCTGCTATGATCGTGTATTTTTGTAGTTTTTTCTAGCAGTCTGCTAATTTTGTTCTATTTTTGTGATATTTTTTACACAGCGTAAGTTTTACAGTGGTCATTATATTCACTGATGTGGACAAACTAATCGTTTATTTCCTGCAATGTGATGTGTGTAACAAGTGATTTCATAAGATACGCATCCGTTTAACTTCAACTCCATGTAAAATGTTCGAAGAATGGAATGATGAACAATGGTGGGTAAACTATCGGTAATGACTTCAAAGCCACTTCATCCGAAGACCCGAATAGAACTGTTATCGATCTAGAGAGTCACAGTATGAAAGTCTCAAGTGAAGAGGAATGAAAATTGCTGAGGAAGTAAAGGATGAAAAAAAGACTGGCACGGACAGCTCATCAATCAAAACGTCTCCAGGTAGCTTACATTTTGAGTCACAGAATACCCTGTCAAAGCTCTAAAGCAAAACTACAAATACATATAACCATGAAGAAAATAGTCGTATTTCCCTGAAGATTATGAACAATTTTATTGAATCACATGGCTTTGACCCTGAAACTCGGTACGCACACAATTTAAGTTGGAATATTTATTTGTACCATTTTGCCGAATAACTTACAAGAAGTTCAGACAAAAAAGCTGATAATAGGCAAGAGGTCGGGTAAAATGTCGACTCCCGATCATACAGACTCCCTAAGGTCATATTGAAGTCGTGGGCACAAAAAATCGTATGTTAAAGAGTAGTCGAGAGGAGGGTTCACACTGATATTCAAATAAAATCTGATATATCAATAGAGGATAGGATCAAAAGGCTGCTCTAGTTGAGCTAGTAACTGGTTGTAAATAACGATGAAGAAAACATTCGTCTGGTGGGTTTTAGAGCACTTGGGTTTTGAAAGAGGATGCTACCAAAACCTGCGTTAATAAATCGTCTTCTTCAGGAAACTATTCCACAAAACTATATACCAAAATTCGACAGCTTTTTAATATGCTAAGAAATGCTTTTGGACCTGATATACCTTCTCCTTTTTCCATATTCGTTTAAGACAACTGAAACGACATAGCGAGCGGATTCAAAAGCAATAAGCGGACAAAATACGGTTCAAATACAGGTTTTCTTGTCTTCATCAAATCTTGGAGCATACTACCAGGAGAAATGGTGTCCATACTTTCAAAGGACTCATTCAAGAAAAGTTAGATATTCACAGGAGCTTGCTTGAAATGCCTAATTCAGACCAAAGACATTTTATCATCAACACAAATCTGAATTGAAATACGAAACTTACTGTGAAGCAATAAGGATCCCAAGGTCACGACTATTTGAATTTGCACGACTAAGAAATGAGCGTCCGTTTTCAATTAGACAATGATAAAACACTTTGCTAATTCTACAAAGTTGAGAACTTAGCAAACTAATAAAAGTTAGTTAATGTAATAACAATTGAAATCATTTTTTCAGTACCAGGATTCTTAGTACAATAATGTAAAGGAAATTTAGTCCAGTAACCAATTATTTTGACCAGCTAATGTACATAAATTGGTTTTCCTATACCTTCTTTTTAGGGCTATATTACAGTCCCAGATTTTTGATGTGTTCAATGTTGAACAATCCAGCCCCTTGGTGACATCATTCTTGACGGATTTGATAGTTATTTGGAGACTTATAGTTCTTGATTATAAACGGGTGTAGTTTGCATGGCGGGTTTTCTCACACTATCGGCTGTGAGCTTTTTTGGCCTCTGTGCAACGGTTGTGTAGTTAGATCCGGAGAGGTGAGAAAAAGATGCTGCTCATAATGGTCAGGTAAACTGATGATGTAACAATCACGAATAATCGAATTTTAAGAATGACATAAAACGAAATTAACCTGGATGAAGGGCTAATGACTATTATAACACTAGGAATACTAATCGTAGTAATGGCAGTGTATGGGATCTGCATTAAGTACAGCTGTTCCGTTTAATTCATCATTTTCGGCTTTCTTCTCGAAGCTCTCCATTGAGAGGGCTGTGGTGACGATTCCAGACAACCCCTATCCGTAGGAAGAATATTTACTTGATTGGTTATTTGCCCATCGATGTGGCATTTTTCGAGTCACTTCGTGAAGCTCACTGTTGGGGTTCAGAAAGAATGCTTTTGTTGGGGTGACGGCGTCTTAAAATATCGTTATGCCATGATCAAATCACTCAGAGGTAACAATTTCAAGCAAGGATATCTAACCTCATGAGATCTGTCTTTCAATCCGGTTACCCATTTTGTCTCCCGTTTCTGTATTTTTCATAAGGGATTTATACTTCTTATGAAAACATAGGGTCAGATGATCCCTTAGTGTATGAGTTTGCATGTATCCTTTCACCTGTTTATCAAAATTATTCCTTGCATACACTTTACAGAACAATAAGTTCTTGTCTTTAGCCTTAAATGCAGTGTTTTTATTTTCATGGATTGTGCTTGTTATATTCCGTTTGTTACTGCCTCTGAGTAAATTTGTTGGTTGTCATTTCATTTGTAACCTGGTGTTTGGCGAATCCACTTACCTGTTCCTAAGAACTGAAAAAAGTTGACTACTATGTCAATTCTTTAGGTTTGAGATGTTGGTGCCTGAACTGATTAAAGTGAACGACTGTATAACGGTTTTATTCTCTGATCGCCGATATTAATTTTTAATTAAAAAGTAATCTTTTGCATTTCTTAGTTTAATCGCTTGATATGCTCTAAAATTCTTTTCGGGACGACTTGTTGCTTAATAATTCTGTTGGCTGTATAACCTAGTGATCTAATTAATTTAGTTTTGTATAATCCAAACATATAATCTGTATGATCAAAACGTAACCAAACTATCGTCTTTGGAATCAATCCATGAAGAAGGAATAGCCTCTAGCAATCGTGCTATGTTATGCCGATACCTTGCTATATTGGTTTGGACGTAACTGGAAACTTCATCAAGGTGTATAGATCAATCCTAAACTTTTTAAGGCACCTGGAAATTCTCCACAATAGAACGAGTCAGTATAGATGTGATAGTGACGTGACTTCTATGTAAGGTTTGATAGATTAGTTAATCATATCATGACAAATCTTTAACTATGGAATAGGCCTATTATTCTAATAGCATATACGAGCGTTTAACACAGACCTATACCATAATCGTACATTACTGAAACCGACTAAAGAAGCGTAACACACTCATGTTAGCTATTTGGAAGTATAGTGCAAATTTTCGTGGCTCAGTTAAATTTATACTTTTCATAGTATATCAACCATCACTCTAACTGAAATAATTTCACTTAAAGTGTCTTTAGAAGTAGTTATTTTATTCCGAAATTAATTTTGGATCTGTACGTTTTACGAGTACATTTGACTTTTTGTTTGTTGCACTTTTGAATCTAACAGTATGTGGTTTCAAATTTATTCTGATTATTAGTTTTTGTTTCCGCATGTTTTTGTGTCTAATTTATTTGAACATCTTTAACTGATGACTGGACAGTGCGAAAACGCAGTCTGCATGAATCTAACGCCCCTGGCTTTTAAATAAATTAGTAAAAACGAGTGCATGTGGTTGAGTCAGCGATGCCGCTGGGACTCCGTTAGTTTGATATCCAAAGCCATTAAAATGGTTCAGGCAGCTACCAGACATATTAGTAAGCGTACTTGAGATGGATCAAATAATAATCACTTTGCTGGTACACAAATCTATTGAAAGTCCTCCTAAATAATAGTAATAATAATAATAATAATAATATATTTCTGCATGTGCAGGTAAGCACCGTTTGTACAGGCATGATCTATAAATTACAACATTTGTTGGTTCACAAAATGTTTCCCATCTTATTAAGTTTATAGTTGTTATAAAGTGAAATCGTAAAGCGCTTGCTGTAAACTATGACCTTGAGAGGACGCGTACGTCAAGTTTGTTCCAAAAGTCAAACGTTTTATAGCTGTGCGCTCAGAGCAAGATTCTGAAGAAGAAAATAAGAGGAACAGAAGAGCAGCAAGGCAATTGGATATGAACGCCAAACGTTGCTTAACATTGTGTAGTAGGACGGATAGAGGTATAATAAATTAGAATAAATTCATATTATGTCTTGTAAGGGAAATGAAGTCAGAGGCTCCATATTAGAGAATGTACTAATAAAGAACAACGAGTAGTGATGTTTAACAAGTTGGAGTAAGCTCACATGAAGGAAGGGAAGTCAAGGTTGGTACAAGGGAAGCGGTTTATTAGAAGGGTGTGTATATAGAGGGTGAAGTGTTAAGAATACTAGTGACTATCTCTTTTGTTGTCTAACGTTTTTTCCCTTTTTTGTTTGTCCGATGCCAGCCACACAATCCTAGTGTAAAAGTCCGAGTAAGCATGTTATAGGTTGTTTTAGTAGAATAGCTAATCCAGCATAATATTGGAAACATGAGTCTGAGTGGTGAGCGTAGGAAGACATTCTATATCACAGATTGATTGACTTATTCTCAATCATGAGCAGCCTGATACATACAAAATGTTCTGTTCCCAATAACACGGGTGGATTGAAGTTATCGCCCTCACCATCAATGCTCGCTGATCAGTAACTCCACCCTCCCTCCTTTTTGTGATGTTAGGCTCATTTAGGCGAATTTTTGTATATACGTCATATCTCACACAATCCTCTGTTTCAAAACCTGTTGGAAAGCATTATTTCTATAAGTACCATTTTACAAGCTTATCAGGCAGTTACAAGCTATGGACTGTGGGTAAAGCATCGATGCAGTGCCTCTGTTGACTATAGTATAAAGTATAGTTCGCCAATCATAGTATAAGCGTTAAGAAGGGTATATTGTAGGATAGTTATTTATTTAAGCAGGCGGAAAAAATATAGAAGTATATGAGTTGTAGATAAGGGAACGAGTGGAAAAATAATATTAATTGCTAGTCAACATAGTGTACTGAAAAGTAAAAAGTTAATACAGGATAAACAGGAAGGAACTCACAGTAACTTGGTGCTAATGTTATTTTCTGTTGTCCTAACCAGTTGATTGGTAACAGGCTCCATAGATGCAAGACCACTAGTAGTAGGCAGCCGATTGTGCGGTCCTCTTGAATTTTTAGGGTGGTAGTGAGTGTCCCTTATCGACCGAGTTTAGTTTAACAGTAATGATAGGTCCAGTGAGTTACCTGTCTACTTCAAGTGAAGAAATAGGGTGGAAAAAGTAATTAATACAACTACAAAGTAGGAAAAATAAGGCAAACTGAACTTGAGGTCCATTTTGAACTAAACATGGAGAGAGCCTATGATGTCTGACTGGGGAGCAGATGTGTTCGTACGTGCAAGATCAGTGCAAGTGAGGGCTTGATCAAGCGGTTTTACAAACGTATGTAATTTATCTGCCATGCGAGTTTCGGAAGGAAGACTGTTCCATATTATTGCATACCTGGTGAGGAAGAAGTTTTCCCGAGTTTTTGATCTGTATTTCTCAACTTTGACCGTAGATACTTTGTTTCGAAGTCCTTATTCATATGAATCTCGGGCAAGAATTATCTTACATGTTGAATAAGTAATGTTTCTGAGTAGTTTGAAGTAAAGAATTAGATTAGACCTGAGCCTTTTCTCTCAAAGGGGTGCTATTCCTAAGATTTGGCACCGGGAACTGTAGTCAGTGACCGATTCAGTCTTAAGTTCTTTGCGGGTGAAGTCTCGTTGTATTCCTTCCACCTTTAGTATATTACATAGGCGTAAGTTGGAAAATAAGAACGAGTAGTATTCAACGATAGGTCATACACAAACTTTGTAAAGAAGGATTTTAGATTCATTTTGATAGAAATTACGGAGAATGAAGCCAAGCAATTTCCGCATTTTGGATGCTTTGGCTGAAATGTGTTTGTAGTAGCATTGGACCATAACTACACTATCCTCAAAGCTGAATACGAGATTACTCGGAAAATAGGTATTCAATATTTAACGCGAAGAAATACCTAACGATGGAGAAGGCGCGAATAATGAATTGAACGAATTAGAATTGATCGAATGGCATGGTTCGGCCATGCAGGCGTGGTCCCTGCTGAATGTTATCTTATATCTTCTATTCATATTAAATACATTGTTCTTTCTCTAGCTTAACTTTGTTCTACATCATGTATTACTAATTGATACGATACAGTGAGTTGGTGTAGTCGATGGTGTGACTTCCACGTAAGATCTTATAGATTAGGCAGTTATATCATGACAAATCTACAAATGTAGAATTATGGTCTACTATAATATTAGAGCAGCACTAATATTATGGTAGACCATAATTCTACATGTTCAAGAAAATGAAGACTGTGTGAGTAATGTACCCCTAGTTCAGTTACTGATGCCAGTCTGGGCAGTGTGTGGTTGCTAAGTGTTAGTTTCGTTTTGAGAGATGTGTCTCCTATACATACCAGCCGCATTTCTCTGTGTTGAGCTCTAACCTCCAGCGTTTGCACCAGTCGTTTACCATGTTGAGTTCATGTTGGATTGTTTCCATAGTACTGCGTAAATCGCAAATGTCAGTTTTATGGATGACTTTTAAGTCATCGGCATAGAGGTAGGTCTTACTTGTGCTAAGACACTTGCATATATTGTTGATGTAGATTATAAAGAGCAATGGACCCAAGACACTACCCTGCACAACACCACTGGTTATTGGTTGAAGTGTAGATGTATTAGAGTTAATCTTGGTTATTTGATATCTGTTCGTAAGAAAAGACTTGATCCATTGCAAAGGGTGATTTATAATTTCAAGTGACTTAAGTCTCTTGGTTAGATTATAAGGTACTTTATCAAATGCTTTCTTAATATCGAAGTATGGTATAATAACTAGTTTCTTCTAGTCACGTTTACGAGTAACCTCGTTAAAGAAGTCTATCAGGCATGTACTGCACGACCCTGTTCTAATGAAGCCATATTGTGACGGGTCTATTAGATCTTCCTTGAGTAGATGATCAG